TCATGATTCCACTTAATTCACTTTAAAATAAAGATACTGAAAGAACAAAAGTAAAAAGGTAAAGTAACCCACTTGAGTGGGCTTTAAACAAAAAAAAGTAACCACTTGATTTTGCTTTAATAAATAAAGAAATTGAAAGGGTAAAAGTGAAAATAGTGGACAACCAAAAGCATCCAACGTTTTTGTAAAGCAAAAGTCTGGGTGGAATTTTCCATCCTCACGATGTAGAAACAAAACAGTTGATTGGAAATCTATATTTTTTTTCACAAAAATATTATATTTAAAAAAATCAATTGCAAAAATCATATTTTCGGTATATTTGTAAAAATACTTAGAGGTATCAATTTGCAAATATATCACTAATTATTGATTCGAGGTACGCATCTAGGAACAGAGGAAGCGAGTCGCTTAGCCCAACCTCTAGCATCATCATACAGAGCAGTGTGGAACTAAACAAGCAAAAAAAAAAGGAAAAGACTTTGACTAACATTTTACTTGAGTCTCAAGTTAAACAACAAGTAGAAGCAACATGCATACCCTAGAAGCAGAAACTCTGGAAGTGTGGAATTAAGCAGCTTGACGGTTGTAGTAAGAAGGGCAAGTAGTACAGTAAGGATCATTACACATCCCTAACAGAGAGATTTGCGTTTCTCAAGAAGAAATCGTCTTTAGGCAGATTCGCTCAACTCAAGAAAGTACTACGGTATGTGGTAATTTGACAACTTTGATTTTTAAGAAAGATAAACTTTAATTTTCATTAAAATTTACAAAGCTACTACAATTACATTAAAAACAACAAACTAAGAAAGAAAGAAGAAAACGATTACATGAAAATTAAAGATCAAAAAGGGAATAGAAAATACATTAAAAACATCAAACTAAGAAAGAAAAAGCAAAAAAAAACGATTACATGAAAATTAAAGATTAGAAAGCTAATAATACAAAATACATTAAAAAAAAAACATCAAACTAAGATAGAAAATAAAGAAAAGGATTACATAAAATCATTTTTGTTTAAGGGATTCTTCCACCACCCATCCAGACGTCCCTGCAGAACATCTCTCACCCATTCACACTGTGCATTTACGTGTAATTTAAATT